CTCTTCCACAGGCCCTATCATTGAGGTACCCCTCAGAGTTGTGAGGGAGCTATTCACTGGTGGGGCTGGGGGAAAGATCAGACTGTGGTGCACGGAGGCTTACCAAATAAATGACAATGACTTTCTAAACCCCATTTGCTTTCTGAGAATGGAACTGCAGAGGGATCAAAGCTACACAAAGCTAGCCACCTTTGTCATATCAGAAGAAGACAAAATCTCATATTATTTCAGCCAAGATAGAGTAGAAAAATCAATTTATTGTGATGTGAGTCACGAACTGACTGCTTTAATTTTTAACCTTAATAAAGAGTAACAGAGAAATGAAAGTGTGTGTTTCATAATAAATGATTTGACTGAAAGAAAAATGTTCAATATAAGTATTCATCAATCACATTTTGTCACAGAGCAGCCTCATAATATTTTTTTCAATAATATGAAATGTTGATTTTGTCAGCACTTTTGTTGCAATAGAATTTCTATGGAGAGTCAGCATTTTGGGGAACTACACATTCTGTGATAAATTCTTTTAATGCCTGCAAATATAATCAACAGTGTTTGAATCAGTGTTGAGTTTTTCTGATTTCCCTTGTTGTACTTTTCAAATACTTCCAAATTGTGTCAGCATTAAAACTAAAGTTACATTCTGTCATTTGTTCTGGTATTCTCATGGAGAGAAATTGGTAGCTATCTGTTTTTGACCGGATTAGCACTTCTTTAGAAAACGACTTTGCTTTATTTTGTTATAGGTAGCTGAAAATTAGTTATACATTTCATTTTCTGTGATAATCAAAGTGGAGAAAAGAATCTCGGTACCAAATCTCAAAGGCAGAAGAAAATTTAATCTCAAAAGTATTACATATGTGTTTTCAAAATTTCCTGGACCAAAAGCCTAACCAGAAGATACAGCTAATAAAGGCATACTAGATTGCTAAGCAAGTGCTTCTCAGACATTGCAAGTGTGTTGCTGCTGAACTATGAGGCAGGCTGAGGTGGTGCTAACACAAGAAGCCTCAGAGGGGTTCGCTTATGTGAGGAGAAGAAATCCCGAGTGGATTCCTGAAGATATACATGCACTAGATCTTACTGGAACCTTTCCAGAAAATGATGCCAATGGAGTGATTTTCAAAGGAGTTTTTTATGTAATAATATTTGTTTTCAGTTTTTAAAAATGTGTTTATGTTTATTTTTTAAACACTCATATTTTGTAGTTATGTGCATTTTCTTTCATGGTAATGGAATTGCAGTTTGGGCATGGCCCACTGTATAACTGAGCTTCCCGTAAGCTGTACCCTTCCTGCCCAAATGCATGGGCCACGTAAAAAGGAATATGAGAGGAAAAGGATGGACATTGCTTGTTAATGTATAAAATCACAATATAATTTGCCATACTTTTTCTAAACTGATTAATTGATGAGAATGTATGAGAAGGGGTTAATGTCACTGCTCTCATTTTCCTAAGCTCTGGCAGTGTTTTTGAATATATACTTCTTTAACCTACACTCTTTGGAGAAAAGGGTTGCCCTCTTACTAGGTTTTTACATAATGCCTGGCACAATAGGCTCTCTGTCTGATTAGGGCTTCTGAGAAAATTATAACATGAATAATTCATAATGCTACTGCCAATTTGTCTTCAGTTTGTTTACTGAATTATATGCAAGTTTTAAACAACTCCATTTGTATGACTCCTCCACTCTCCCATCATATAGCTGTGGAGTTAATACAGGCAGCTATTATTGGCATATGCCCATGCATTCTCTTGTGTTATACTGGCATGAAATTGCTGGTTTCTTTGGTGTGTAACCCTCCTCCAGAAATATCTTTCTGAATGAACAAGTATGGAAAATGAAGTAGGGAGTTCCAGTGATGTTTTTAAACCTATGTTCCTTGTATCTACATTGCATCCCACTCATGTTACTATTAAATATATTTAAAATGAAGTAGCAGAAGCAACAGAGATAATTGATTTTCACTTATATGGAAAATAAAGTGTTTTCAAATAATAATCTTCTGTCATATAAGCTATATGTAGGCATAGATCAGAATAGTTTGGGGAGAAGAAGCTGGCCAGAAGTTTGGGAAATGGGTGCCGACACATTTGCCAAAACTTGCATTGACTTAGGAAATTAATCCAATAATTTTCAATTATTTTGTGATATAAAATATTTCTGAGTTACTGTATATTTGCACATATTTCTGAGAGTTGATAATGTAGCAACAAATCTTGAGATCCAAATACTTCCTGCTTCTTGAAGTAGAAATACAAACTGGGATACTTAAAGCAGGAGTGGGCAATTTGTGGTTTTTGAAAAATTTGGTCATGCAGTCCTAAACATCCCTCAACTTGGGTTATGCTGGCTAAGGCTGATGAAACTATAGGCTTGAACATCTGGAAGACTATAAGTTGCCTACTCAGTCATTACACCTTTAAGAGAAGACATGGAGTAAATAGTTTTGAGGGTTGAGGTCATATTACTTATTTTCTCTTACATTTTGTGCTCTTAACCATGGGCACACTATTTTATTTAATTAAATACATAGTCGCATGCTTAGCATTTGCTTTCAATCTTTTTGAAATGAAGTTATGTCAGAATTATGCATGGTCTGGCCTAATGAGCAATTAATGCAAATGTTCTTGACTTTTACAGACATTTTTTTTGAGAATATGGCTTTTAAAAGGTTAGAACATGGCTTTAGGATAGTGAGTTTAGGTGACTCAAGAGGAGAGCTCTAAAGCCAAATCTTTCAAGGTCAAGTGGCATTAAAAATATGGATTTCAAATAGATTTAAGAGACAGACTTTATCAGTAGCACTGGGTTGAAAACACCCCTACAGGCATTAATACAATACTTAAAGCTCTGGGCATCTGAAATAGTAAATTGACTTGAAAGGCTCAATAATCTGAGCTTGGTTATCATTATTTCATTGGATGCATTTTAGGATCATTCATCAGGATTTGGATTTTTTTCCCTTTTGCTTGGCAATTAAGACTGCAGTCCTGTATACAAAGCCCACCTTTTCTGTCTGGTTTTGATTATTAGGGATGGGCAGGTGGGTGAAATTAATTTAGTTTGCATTTCAGTATGAATCAATCAAATGGAAACATACTTATCAATGTCCATGCATACTTTCACCTGATGTTCTCAAGGTGATGAAGAAACTTGATAGAATGAACTTGCACTTAAAAATATACAAGCATCTTAGAAAGGAAAATAGTACAGTCCTATCAATCCATATTTCTAACTGGCAATTCTCTGAGCTGCAAGAAAACTTTGCACTGCCAGGCAAATCAGACTGAAAATGATCTAATAAACTGGACATAACTAAGCACCATTTACATCACATTCATATTTGATGTGCAAAGCACCAGATTTAAGCTACAAAAATGTGAGAATTTTTCTGGATAACCCAAGAATCAAGTCTTTGTAAGGGTGTAAACTCAAAGGTGTTGGAAATGCCAGAAAAATAGAAGTGTAAATTCCAGCTAATGAAGGATTCAAGATGTGTGTGTCTCAGGGTGCTAGGAAGGAAATGGAAAGAACAGATACGCTGGAGTTCTCTTCAGCAGTGAAGGTTTTTGTCATAAATCAATGGTAAATTTTTGCACTATGAATTGTACCTTTTATGCTGAATTGACCAGAGACAGAAAGAATGTCTGAATTTTGTATTTTTGATGAGCATTTAAAAATACTGTATGCATCCATTCTTCACCATACTACTTTTATACTGCAGAACATAACTGCGTAACATTCTCTTTAAGTTGATTCATGTTAGTTTAAAGCAAATTAAAGCAAGTAATTTGCTTTTCATAGGTTTTGATAAAGGATAGCGGAAAACAGAATTGAAGAGCAATCATGTTGCAGTTTCCAAAGTAAAATAGTGACAACAGAAATTGCACAGGGGCAATATGGGAGAAAGGGAAGAATACCTGTAACTTATAGCTTAGCATAGAAAATACAAAGGGATTGTTTTGTCTTGTTAAGAAGGTTTTACCTTTATGTCTATTTGGTAGGTGCCTAAACAAACTTCTTATTCTTTCCACTGCTTTGCAAATCATAATTACACTTCAAACTAATGCTTTTTCTTTGTGGTCCTCCCACATAATCTATATGAATGAAGCCTGCATTGACGGTTTTCTCTGAGTCTCAAAATCAAGTGTTGCAAGTATTATCAAAATATCAAGCTATATGGAAGTCACTCACTTTGTGTTAAAGAAGCACAGGGATATTTTCACATGTGAAATCCTGACTATCTGTTTTATACCTGATCTTTCTGCAAATTCCATCAAACACTTTTTTTCTTTTTCACAAATTACTCAGCACTAGCATAAGAGCCAAGGAAATAATTAGGGTTGGGAGTAAAAGCCATGGCTACGTCAAACATTCAAACCAAAGCCAGGTACCCGTCAGAATTTGCACTTGTCTAAACCTAATCAAAATATATCTAAAAAATTATACAGCCAAGAAAATAATATTAAAATATCTTCAGAAAAATGATGCAATACATTAGGAAAATGCAGATTAGGAGAAATATGCACAAAATATTTCTGAATTTGATGCAAGCCATAAAAAGAACAACCTTTTGAACAAATTGAACTTAACAATGAAGAACTTCTCAAAGTCTGAGATGAACCAAATTTAAGGCTGGAAAAAAATAGAAATTGGGAAAAATTGAAAAATGACAGATCCATGTATTCCTATCAATAACTAACACTGCTTAGTTGTCCCCTTGTCTTTTTAAAAATTTATCCCTAGGGTCTCAGGCCCTCACTTTCACATTCAGTAAACTTAGGGAAAAATGAAACTACAAGTTTCAAAAATAAGTGAATTGAATATGGTGAAATATGGGAGCTGATGATTAAGAAAGAAGCAAAAGAAAGCTTATGCTCCTCTTACCACTGGCTGCATTGGTTTCCTTTATAGGCCAGGGGATGCTCCAGGGGATGCTTTTCCAAAGTTGCCTGAGCAAACAACATGTCAACATGTTGAGAACAAAAGACTTACCATGGATTTTCTAAAGTTCCTTCCTCCTCCTGTTTCAGAAGTTGTCAGTGCACTGGCTCTTCCTGAGAGACAAGGAAGGGATGAAATTGGCTCAGTAATTTTGGTTTGGGGGTCAAGAAACTGCCCTGACTTTTCCACAGTGGGGAAGCTCACTACACTGCCTGTTGGAACCTTGTCACAGTTCTAGTAGAGTCTACACAATACATCTTTAATCTTGATTTATATATATTCGTCATGAAGGCTGGTGAGAAAACTAACATGCCCCCACCCTTTAACTTGTCCTTCCCCCTTTCCACCAGTGAAACATCTGCTTTTATGATTATTTAAAATATACTTACTGAAACATTATACTAACTTTCTTCTAAAATTTGGTTTGAGGGAAAGTAATACCAGCACTGTTTGGTATGTGACAAAAGCAGCAACAAGCAAAACCTCAATGGTGTAATGAATGAAGAAACTGTCATATTTGGATTCATTTTCAGTTGTATGATTATAATATAATATGTGTTTCATCCAAAGTATATAAAAGGGTCGTACAATCATCCTAAGGGATGCTCTTTAGTAGATCCATACTAGTTTTTCAAAAGAATAGGGGAAAATACCAGGCTATAGTTTAAAACTATCTCACAAGTTTCAACCTATATAAAATGCAATGTTCAGTTTCCATACCTCCATTAAAAGATTCTTAAGTCACAGAGATGGATATGCTTTTTGTCTGAGACACTGGAAATCTGATAAGCAGAAAAGAAATGGAAACCCTCGTTAAGTATTGATACAGAAACGTAGAAACATAGGGGGAGGGGGACAAGACAGAAGGAGATCTAGTCTGACCTCAGGCTCCAGCTAGCTTCATTCACGTAATCCCCAACATGTGGTGGTCCAATCTTTCCTAGAACACCCTCACTAATGGAGTCTCAATAACCTCCCTTGGAAGCCCTTTCCATATCCTAGGGTTCCTAACCACCTGGTTCCTTAAGCTTTGCCCATTGGAATGCATTCTGCCCTGCACGGCAGAGAAACACAGGTCACAGCCCTGCTCCACATGGCATCTCCTCACATACCTATAAGACATTAAAAGATTCCCTCAGAGTATCCTCTTCTCCAGACTGAAAAGACCCAGTTCCTTCAAGCTCTCCTTATATGCCATCCCTCCCAACATGGCTGCCATTCTTATTATCCTGCACTGAACCAAGTATGACTTAGCTATGTCTCTCCTATAATGTGGAACCCAGACCTGGACACAGTACTCCAGTTGTAGGCATACCAGAGTCATGTAGAGTGGTATCAACACCTCCCTAGATCTGGAAGTCATGCTTATGGCTGTACATCCAAGGGGGGCATTTGCCTTCTTAACCACTACATTGTGCTGCTGGCTCATGTTAAGCCTTCTGTCAACAAGTATCCTGAGATACATTTCACAAGTGCTGCTCTCCAGTCACTTGCCCTCGCCCCCCCAGTGTACCTGTGATATCTATTTCTGTGTCCCAAGTGCAAGACCTTGCACTTATCCACATTGAATGCCATCCTGTTGTCCCCTGCCCACTTCCACGGCCTGTCCAGACCTGGATCACCTGTTCCTCAGTTGTGGCCACTGATACCCACTTTGGTATCTTCTGTAAATATGATTTAATATCAACAATTTAAACCCAAATGTTGAAGTTCAACTACACGTTTAAACCCAAGGATTTAAACCCCAAATTTCAAGCTAAACTCTGATCCTGGGCAGTTTCTCCTTCATTCAAGTTCTGTTGTCCCAAATATGGAAAACTTGGTATATGCTGGGCAATTCTTATCAAAACCAAATTATAACAAAGTTCCCATCCATATCTATTGTGGTAATGTTCTGGGGCCATTTGTGCTCCTGCTAAAATAACCGAAGTATGATGGTAATGACCTGATCTTAATTCAGATCCAAACTGAATTGAGACAAATTTAATCAAGTTGAGGTGGAACCTTACTCAACTGAGCCAGGGAAAGGTACTTTTCAAGCATTATTTACAACTTTCTGTTCCTGGTAAATGGACCTTTTTTGGTCATGCTGTGGACCATTTGATTTGAAATCCTACTGTACATGATTAAATTGAAGTAAGGCCCACTGAACTCAATAGGACTTTCCATTGAGATATAATGCATGGAAGTATATTGTTGGTCTGGCAATAGAAATAGAGAGGAGTGAAGCTAAAAGGTGGTGGTGGGGGGTTGCTTTTGTGTTTTGTAAAAGTTTCATATTAGAAATGTTACTTGATCCTCTCAACAGTCAGAGTGCATGAACATATGTAACACCAATAAATTACTTTCAATGCTTTTACGCAGGATAAAAATTGTGTTGCATTTATTAAATGTTGAGCATCAGTTAGGTGCATCTACTCCCTACCCTTGAAGTAATTACATCTCTGTAAGTTGAATAGTACGGCCAAAGGCTATATAGAATGTACTGTGTAAACTAGAGAATGGTTTTTCATGAAATCATCGTGAAATGCTAAGCAATTCTTTATTTAAGTGTTCTTATAATACCAATTTTCAAACAATCATTGCTACTGATTGTAACCCAAAATGAAGTTTATAAGTAGTTACAGCATAAAAGGAACATGGTTAAATTGGGAATGTGTTCCATATTTAGCCAATCATTCTAATAGTAACCCCACAAATTGCTTAGGTATTCTACCCATCCATGCCCCTGCTGAGGAAATATAGTCAGACTAAGACTAAATCAACAATCCAAAGTCAGGTGCAAGAGAAATACACATAGCATTAAAGAAGAGAATGTCTCTGGACACATCCCGAGCCTAGGAATGTGTTTTCCTTACTGAACTAATATATTATTTTCACACAAAAGTTCTTTCTTACTTACCTAAAGTTTTTTTTTCTTTTCATCAGCCATGTTGTTTTTGCTATTCTTACAAAAAATAAACAAAATAAAGGGAGGATTGGGGCTAGAAAGCACTGCCAATCTAACATCAATCACCCAGATAACAACTAGGTCCCAATTAATATTCTCCACACCCCTGGTATAAGTCACCTTTGCTTTTCCACTTCTGAGCCTTCCTCCTCCTCCTCCACATTTACCTTCACCCAGCATGAGACGAAATATTTTCTTTCCCTTTCTTTTTTCTACCATCTACTGCCACATGATCTGCCTTTTTGACTTAGCTATGCTTCAGTAATACTCAGTTTCTCATATCTGTTCCCCTATACATAAAAATACCTGAAAAATACCAGAGCGCTCTTCTACAAGAGGTATTTCTCTTTCAATCTTGTACTTTGAAGCATATAGGAATATCAAGTATCTTCCTCTTCCTTTGTTCCTTCCACACTATATTATTCTATTTTGCACTTTGAAAGTGAGATGAAGTGTGGATTGTGGTACAAATTGGGAAGTAACCAATTTTACTGCAACCAGTGCTTTTGACCATCACCAGAGAAAAGCCTTAATTTTTCATTTAGTTATCCAACTCACTGGGAAACATTATAATGGAACTTCAAATATACCTACTATACTTTGCTTGATACCATATCGTTATTTGAGCTGGAAATGTGAAAAAGTAATAAAATGAAGGGTATGATATAAAATGTGTGATTAATTGATTTGTGTCAAATTGAAACTTTAAAATTATGATTTTTTTATCAAAAGTATGAATGCTTAATACGTGGCCTACTTCATGATGGTGAGCATATTAAGGAGACTAATGAGAGAATTATCTAGAGATTAAGAATGGTAATACATTTAAGAGATGGATGTTCTGTTGAATTGTAAAATATGATAAAAAGAAAAATGTAACCAAATATTTTGAAAGATTAATTACTTCTTGATTTTGTCTCGTAACACCTATACAGTAATGGGATCCTTAATAATCCCATTATCTTACCCTCTTTATTTTTGAAGGATTTTTTGGGGGGCATAAAAAGCTCTCTGGAGGGTAAAATATAAATAGGCAATATTACATAATACTGGATTTTGAGTTAGGAAATAGCTTTCACTAAGATTTTTTTAAAACATTATTTAGCATGTACTAGGGATGAATACAGACTTTAAGACTTTGCTATTAAGATGCTTTGCCATACATTAACTTGATGGTGTAGAGCAGCATTTGGACTACAAGTTCCAGAATTCTTCACCATTAGTGAAACTGGCTGAAGTTCATGGGAGATCAAGAATAAAACATCTAGGAAGAGCCAGGCTAGGAAAGGCTGTTCTAGTGTCTGCTATAAGCATGTATTTTCAAGAATTATTTATTGATACTGTACCTAGCCCTTAGAATATTTGGTGTTGGTTAAAGAGAAACTCAGAAATGAAAATTAGTTTAAATGGTTTAGCACATGACAAGTTTTTGGTTTTGTTTTGGAAACCAGCTGCCCCAAGAATCCAGGCTCTTCAGGTTTTAGGTGCTCTCAGTTCTTGGGAATGACTGCACAAAGATCCCAAAAGGAGTCCTTTGTGTGGGGCTGCTCTGCAGCTGTCTTGTGTCTTTATGGGAGCATGCAACCTGGGTGTTGTAACAGTATATGCATTAACCCTAAATCTAGCCTGCCAGAACCATTAACAATTCCAAACAGCAGATCAATTACTATAGACAAGCAAATGGAGTAAACACAGCCTAGTTAGCATAGCCCTGTACAAACTGTCTGACTCATCCCTTGATGACCCATTGCGAGCGTGGTAAAGTCAAGTCTTCTTCCCTTCATTTGTGGGGAGACTCACACCTGGTTGCTTGGAAAAACCTCAGTGCTATCTTCCTGTACTAGAAGAGAAAGACCTCAATGTCTCTAGGACCTCTGGCCTGTCTCCCACATCCTGGATGCAGCTTCCAAAATAATGTTATATTTTTTATCTGCTAAATATCTGGTAGTGCGTTGTTCCAGGTCTGAATAAATTCTGGAAAGGTACCTGGACAGTTTGCTATTTAACATATTTGCTAAAGCAGAGGCATTTGGCCTTGGGTTGACTTCAGCCAGGACATCGGCATTGTCAGCATGTGAATGGCCTGATAGAGACCTGCAACTAACTGCAGTAGAAAGCTTACTGGCTCTTGAATCTGGGTAAGATGATGTCAGTACAGCCCAGCTGAGTAGGCCACTGTACTCCATCTCAGGCCGATCATAACAGGGGTCTGTAAGCTAACACATTTGGCGTTTATTTATTTATTTTTCGATTTATATCCTGCCTTTTTTCTGACAAAGGGCTCAAGGCAGCTTACATCTCCTCCGCCATCTTATCCCCACAACAACAACCCTGTGAGGTAGGTTGGGCTGAGAGTCTGTGACTGGCCCAAAGTCACCCAGTTGGCTCCATGGTTGAGTGGGGACTAGAACCCAGATCGCGTGAGTCCCAGTCCCATGCTCTTAACCACTACGCCACACTGGCTCTCACACTGGGAGAGTTCAATCTCTCTCCCACCCTCTCTTGAACTGATCATAGAGTAATGGATTTTGTCTGGCTAAGGTAATTTAACTGTATGAGACCTACAAATATCCTTTCAAAATTTCAGATGGGAAACCAATCTATAACAGTTTCTTGGAGGCAGACTTCAGTGTCAGTAGCACAGATTTCTTTTTGCCAATGGTTTGAATGTGGTTGCAGCAGCTGCTTTGACATCCTGGCTACCATGTGTGCTTTCCTGCATTGTTTCTACATTAGAGGGGTCACTCATCTAATCAAAGTCATATTTTATTTGAAGACATGTCCACTCTAAGTCCATGTTAATAATAAAGAAGGGAGAGCAGAGATGCAACAAAA